GTCCTTCTTCCCTTTTTTGAAGATGGGCACTACATTTGCCTTTTTCCAGTCATCCGGGATTTCTCCCGATCTCCAAGACTTTTCAAAGATAATGGCCAAAGGCTCCTCAATGACATTTGCCAACTCCCTCAGTACCCTCGGATACATTAAGTCCGGACCCATGGATTTTTGTAAGTTTAGCTTTTCTAAATAGTTCCTAACCTGTTCTTTAACCACCAATGGCTGTCCATCTTAATCCCATCTTGTGTCCCATCTTGCGTCATTCCTTAATGGCTCCCAACTCCAATATTCTTTTTAGTTTGGCCTTAATTTCTTCTCTTGGCTGCTGGGACCCGGTAAGGTCTTGCGTCACTTAGTGCATTAGTCCGGGAGCCCACATTGTCCGTGAATACAGAGGCAAAGAAAGCATTGAGTACTTCAGCTTTCCCCATATCATCTGTCACTAGGTTACCTCCTTCATCCAGTAGGGGCCGCACACCTTCTCTGATCACCTTCTTCTTGTTAACATGCCTGTAGAAACCTTTCTTTGTATCCTTCACATCCTTAGACAGTCGCAATTCCATTTGCGCTTTCGCCTTCCTGATAACCCCCCGGCATTCTCGAGCTATACATTTAAACCCCTCTCTGGTCATTTGTCCAAGTTTCTACCTTTGTAAGCTTCCTTTTTGTGCTTAAGTTCACCAAGGATTTCCCCTGTAAGCCAATCTGGTCTCCTACCATGTTTGCCTCTCTTGCTACGTGATGAGATGGTTTCTTTCTGTGCCTTCAATAAGGCTTCTTTAAAATACTGCCAGCTGTCCTGGACTCCTTTCCCCTTCATGTTAGCATCCCAGGGGATTCTGCCCATCAGGTCTCTGAGGGAGTCAAAATCTGCTTTTTTGAAGTCCAAGGTGTGTATTTTACTACTCTGTTTTCTTCCTCTGGTCAGGATCCTGAAATCTACCATCTCATGATCAGTGCTTCCTAGGGTGTCATCCACCTCTACTTCCCCTCCATGTTTCCTCCATGTTTGTGAGCAGAAGGTCAAGCTGCGCACAGCCCCTGGTCGGATCCTTCAGCACTTGTGTCAAGAAGTTATCCCCAACATTCTCTAAAAACTTCCTGGATTGCCTGTGTACTGCCGTATTGGTTTCCCAAAAGATGTCAGGGTGATTAAAGTCCCCCATGAGAACCAGGGCCTGCGATCTGGAAGCTTCTCTCAGTTGTCCGAAGAAAGCCTCATCTACCTCATCTACCTGATTCAGTGGCCTGTAGCAGACACCAACCACAACATCACTGCTGTTGTTTGCTCCTTTAACTTAAGACATAGACTCTCAACAAATTTTTCTCCCTCTTTATACTGGAGTTCAGAGCAATCGTAGTGCTCTCTTACATATAGTGAAACTCCTCCTCCTTTTCTCCCCTGCCTGTTCTTCCTGTACAGTCTATACCCTTCCATGACAGCGCTCCAGTCATGCGAGTCATCCCACTAAGTCTCTGTTATCCCAGTTAAATCATTTTTCTTTGACTGGGCCAGGGCCTCCAGTTTTTCCTGTTTGTTGCCCAAGCTTCTTGCATTAGTGTACAAACACCTCAGATAACCAGTTGATCATCCTATCGTCTTCATTCGAATCAGGGATCCTCCTTTTTTGCTCGTTCCTCTCTGCATTTCTTCCCAGTATCTGACTTTCCCTCAGGGTTTTGGTCACCGTCCCCCAACGAACCTAGTTTAAAACCCTCCTTCCTAGGTTTGCAAGCCTGCCCGCGAAGATGCTCCTTCCTGTCTTCGTTTGGTGGATCCCGTCTCTTCCTAACAAACCTTGTGCCCGGAACAGAGTCCCATGGTCAACGAAACCAAAGCCCTCTCTGCGACACCATCTGCACAACCACGCATTTACATCCTCAATTCGACGATCCCTGCCCAGTCCTTTCCCTTCAACAGGGAGGATGGATGAGAACGCCCCTTGCGCTCTGAATTCTTGGATCCTTTTTCCCAGTGCTACATAATCTGTAGTAACCCGCTCAAGGTCATTCTTGGCCGTATCGTTAATTCCCACGTGGAAAAGCAGGAACGGGTAGCGATCCGAAGGTTTGCTCAGTTTGGTAAGCCTCTCAGTCACATCCTGAATGCGAGCTCCCAGTAAGCAGCACACCTCTTGAGATTCCAGGTATGGACGGCAGATGGATGGCTCAGTCCCTCTTAGGAGGGAGTCCCTGACCACCACCACCCGTCGTTTTCTTTTGGGGGTGGTCGCCGTGGAACCCCCGTTTCTAGGACTATGCATTCCAAGCCTTCCAGTAGATGGTGTTCCCTTCCAGTTTCTTCCTTGTGAGGTCCCTTCCAAAGCATTCAGCACTGCAGAGCCTGTGGAGAGAGCCTGAAAGCGATTACTTATCTCTGTAGCATTGGGGGATTCCCATGCTGGCCTTTTCCCCCTTCTAGAAATTACATGCTGACAGTTCTGTTCCTGGTCACGTACTGCCCTCTCTGGTTCCTCTGCCTGCCGTGCTTTAAGGATTAAACGCTGCCTTCTATCGAGGAAATCTTCATCCTCTCTGATCGAGTGTAGGGTCAACACTTGGGCCTCCAGTCCTCTAATTTTTTCTTCCAAAAGGTCGACCAGCTTGCACTTCGTTTAGATGAAATCCGTTCTTTCTTCCAGGAGGAAGACAAACATGGCACACGCTGTGCAGGTAACAACAGCAAACCTATCACCATCCATCGCTGCTGTCCTGGAGAAGGGATTTAAAAAGTAAGGCAAGATAACCTCATGCCCTTCCCAACTCCCTCTCTAAACTCCCTGTTGGCACTCACCTGTTTGCAAGCTCCTTGGTCACTTGCCCACGGCCTTATAAAGCCTTGGAGTGACTGAAAGTCCCTCCCCCTACCAAGGCTCAGCCAATCAGCAGAGGCTTCTAGAATTCAAACTTTAATTAGAAGCCAACAGTTTCCACCTGCGAATCACAGCAAACACTCCATGAAGAGGAGGGGGAAAGGGGAAGGGCAAAAGGGAAGTAGAGGAAAAAAAAAGCCTCATTCACAAACACAGGGGAAAACACCAAACCAAACCAAACAAAAAAAGAACACACACCAACCCTCACTCACAAACACAAGCTCAGCACACAATAAGAAAGCCCCAGTAACAACACATACTTCCCTCAAGAGTCCTGTATCTGCTGCTTCTTTACCTGGAGAACTCCCTCTCTAAACTCCCTTTTTAGCACTCACCTGTTAACTCACAAATTTGACGTGCAGCTTCCTCTTCTCCTAACTAAAGGAAGGTCAGTGTTTGGTTGGGCCAAAAGAACTAGAAGTCCTGGGAAAAGGACTGTTCCCCATAACATGCAAAGGGAGGGGCATGCTGTTCCAGGAGAAACAGTATGAGCATGGTCACGGGGGCAGCAAGCCCACAGGGGAGAGTTGTACTGCAGAGTGTCCACTGGGGGAAGCCGTGCCACCAAGGGAGTAGCCATTTTGCCTGCCACCAGAAAAGATAAGTGGAGGCCCTTCTGCCTGGCAAGAGAGCCCCTGCCGGCCCCCACCTGAAAGGGGTGGGGGAAGGGAGAGAGAGCCTCTGCTGGCTGCATCTGGCACCTCCACCTCTTGTCCTGAGCCCCACCTCTCCCCCCCAACATCCACTCTTGGAATCTCTTATACCCTGGCCTCCTGCCCTGAGCTCCCCACATTCCCAAGGCCCAGCCCTGACTCCTGCATCCTCCCACATCATCAGCCCCCTTCTCTGAAGGAACTGGGCTACACCATGTCTTCTAGTCCATAGATAAGCTTTCATCTGTCTCCACCTCTTGTCCTGAGCCCCACCTCTCCCCCCCAACATCCACTCTTGGAATCTCTTATACCCTGGCCTCCTGCCCTGAGCTCCCCACATTCCCAAGGCCCAGCCCTGACTCCTGCATCCTCCCACATCATCAGCCCCCTTCTCTGAAGGAACTGGGCTACACCATGTCTTCTAGTCCATAGATAAGCTTTCATCTGTCTCTTGCTTTGATAATTTGTTGGACCAAGTGTGAGTAATAGGTTTTTTTAATTTAAAAAAAGCTTTTACAAATATTTTTTGCAAGGAGAATTAAGGCATATGCATAGCAGTCCCTTCATAAACAAATCCAGGAGCACTTCCCCCATCTATCTGCTCCTTCCTTCCTCCCTCCCAGTAAAAGAATTTTGAAGTACTACTGTGTTTGACTTTCAGAATCCTAAATTTTCAGTTTAAAAACTGTAGACTTTGTGCTCAAATGGCAAAAAGGTGTTTTGAATTTTAATTTAAAACAAAACAAACTTCAAAACAAAATATCATTGTTCCAAAATGCACACTTGCATAAGGAGGATTATTATGGAAACATGGACTTTTCCTCAAATATACTACTCCTACAAAGATTTTTCAGACAAAACCTATTTTCAGTTAAATGAACAGACTTCTTTCTTTAAATGTATGAAAGCCTTTGTAAAATTGTTCCCTACGCTGCTTTTTAGAGTATAATTAGCATTTCTTCTGGTTCTGCAAAATTAGAATACATAATTACAGCTGCTAATAGAATTGCCTCTAACTAGCTGAATACTTGATCTAGCCCCATAAAACAAGTTGATTTTATAAAAACAAAACATAAACAAGAAGTTACTAACTTATATTTATGGAGTAGTTTATTTTATTGTGGTCTTTGTAGTGTACATTTTATCCCAGTGAATGCTGATGTGGTTTTTCATTGCTGATGGATTTGAAATACTGTTTTAGAATAAAAATATGAATATAAACTTGTAATTTCCTATTATGTAAAAGATAATTTTTAAACAGTTTTAACTTCTGCTTACCTTGTTTCTGGGCAGGCAGCTTCACTGTGGGCTCCATCCATGGGATCCAGCATGTAATCTGTGGTGGATAGAGTGGTCCTGAAGAGTGGCAGGGTGCACCAGGGACAGGGGCTGCTCTGGTGGACTCTTTGGGGCTGGACAGGGGCAGGCAGGTAGTTGCTCCAGCCCCTACCAGTTAACGGGAACCTATTAAGGGTGAATCTTACCGGTTAACCTTTTACATGCCTATTCATCATACCTTTAGTTGACCAAGATACAACCTTCTAAAATTTGGATTTTTGGCTATTGAAAGATAAAAGATGAAATTGAAAGGTTCTTTCCCAGTAATGTTTGGTGTTACGTTAGCTTCAAGAGGTACCCTAGCCTTCAGTGATGCTATCCTAGCCTCAAGACTATTCAGGAGTATGGAACAATTTCTAATACTGTCTCTTGATTACTGTCTCAAAATAGAAGTACAAGGGGCTATTCAGGAAATTAAGAAGTTGGCAAATTCAAAACTGATAGAAGGAAATTTTGCATACAGTAATTCATTAAAATATGGAACTGATTTCCACACAAGGTGTCACTAATACCAAAAGCTTAGCATGATAAAAAATGGGTTAGATAGTTTTGCCAATAGTGACCATCCTGATTGATATGTTACTGAATCTTATGCTTCTGAGTTTAATTACATCTCTAACTGAAGTGATCAGCAATAACCTTGTGTAGTCTCACGTTTCTCATGTCTGCCTAATGCAGGATATCTTACACCTAAATCTTGCCCCCGTCTGAGACTAAGTATTGGACTAGATGGACCATAGGTCTGATTTCTGTGTACTTTCCCCCCCTCTTGTGCCTTTCATAGTGTACACACTTTCCTACTGCTTACTTTTCTTCATATCCTCCTTCCTCGGTTACCCTTGTATCTTCTTTTAGGTAATGATCCATATTTGCATAAATATGCTGGTGTTCAGTATTCCTGCTATCCAAGAAAACTGTAAATCATAGCTGACTAGGGAGTGGTCTTCACTGCTGCAGTAAGTCAACCTAAGTTATGCTTCTACTGTTACCTAAATAACATAACTGAAGTAAAGATAGTGTAGGTTGACTTACCCTGGTTTCTACACTGTGCTGTGTCAGTGGGATATTGTCTCAGGCTGACTTTACTTATTTTTCTCAGGGAGCTGGAGTATGAGATTTGACCAGAGATTCCCCTGCAATTTATTTTAATGGGTCTTAACTATAGCTACTAAATAGACATCACTGCATCAGTCATAGTGGTGCTGATCTACATTAGAATTTCTATAGTCATAGGGGAGAAAGAGATGGTTTAGTTAGGTTAAGGCACTGGCCTAGGACCTGGGAGATGTGGGCCAAATCCTTGTTCCATCATGCTTTTCTTATATTATCTGAGGCCATTTAGCCTCTGTTTTTCATCTATAAAATGAGAGAAATAGCACTTCTCTTTATATTATAGGACTGTTCTGAAGCTAAATTCAGTCACGGTTGTGTGGCAGTAAAATATGATGGCAATTCGGGCTGTGTAAGTAACTAATATAGATAGCCCTAACCAAAAGTATAAACACATTTAATGAGAATTAGCATGTATGCTTTATTTGGGAAATGGAAATAATGAATAAATAATATATTCCTTATTTACAAAGAAAACAGCTTAAGGATGCTTCTTATTTTTCTATTATTTGTTGTATCTTTAATAATGTGGGTAGATTCCTCCAGAAGTTTTATAGTTTAAATTCCCATGATTGTTACATGTATGTCTTTGTCTCCACTGAAATAAACTGAGCTAGAAGCTTACCAGTTATATAAATGACTTATAAAATGAAATACAAATGGTAAATGGTTAGACTGTCAACTCATTTTTTTATAAATATGCCAAAATAAACTATTTTAAACATTTTTTTGGAAATTGTAATAGTTGGACTGTGTACTTTTTTGGTCCTGTAAAGACTGTTAGATTAAGAACTCTTTAGGTATATATAACCTGTTGCACTGTAGATGGAAAGCCCACTTCTTAGTCTCTACTGTGCTGTAATTTTATGAAATAGTTTGAAGGACCATTTCCACTCTGAATCTTTTATATCCTATCAAGGAAAGTTAGTTTTAAGTGTCTAACATAGGTTGTATGCTCAATGCAACAATTCAAATCCCTTAATATTCGGTTGAACATAGTTTAACAAAAGTGGTTTAGCCAATTTTAACCTTGTTTAACTTTTTGAAGCAACTTATTGTAACAGTGGAATATTACTGGTAGCAATGGTAGTGTATACAGTGCTCAAGTGTTTTTACAGCCATTTTTCTGAGACCTTCCCTGCACAATATTGGCTGACAGTGGTAAAAACACCCAAGCCCATCATTTCTTTGCTTTGTATTGGTGATAGTGAGACAGAAAGAGATTAGCTAGAGCCGTGGTCCCCAACACGCGCCATGGTGCCCACGGGGGCATTTGTCTGTGCCCACCAAGTGCTCAGGGCTGGTCTGGCCTCGGGCACGTGGTGCATGCGCGGTGCCGGAGCCGGCCCAGGGCGTGTGGCGCATGGTGAGAGCCGGCCCCGGGGGTGCCGCGGATTGACCCCCCGCGGCGCATGGGGGAGGGGAGGGAGAGAGCGCCAGCACCGGCCCCGGGAGGGAGGCACCTGGGGCAAG